GGAAGTCATTTTAATGTCTTTAAGTCTCAGTTTCTGCAACAATAAAAGTGAAGATAAGAATTTATACTTTGTACCTTGTGAGAATTACATATTTATTGACCCATACTATATGTCAAGCAGTATATATGAAATCAGTTCATATCCATAAATGTCTTTGGCACAATTATTAGAACATAGAAGTCACTAAATCAATGTTAGTTTTCTTTTTCTTTTTATCCTTATATCTATTTTATTCCCAATATATTCTTTCTTACCTAATGTCTGGCATATCACAGTGGCTGTCACTTAAACAAATGTATCGAATCAATGATTTTAAATTCTCTAGAAGTGCTGCTTTCACTCACTTTACTTTTTCAAGTGTTCTTGAAAGGATGGCTTCACTACCTACAGTTTTCTCTGGCCATTTATTCCTGAAAATCTTTCAGTCTGATTTTCTCCTCTATTGCTTTACTAAAAAGGCTCTATCAGAAGACTCTACTGCGATACGTCAAGTCTAGTGACTTCCTCTGAGTCCTTATTCTCTATTACCTTTTGCAGTGTTCACACTACAGGTCATCTTTTCTTTTTGGCATTTTTTTTCCTTCTCAATGTCAACGTAAATGTTACTGCTTATATGTCACCCCCATCTCCAACCACATCTAATTTGCCTTCTGTTTGTCCTTTTTCTCTCCCTACAAAGTAATTTGAACATTCCCCATAGCATTATTTTTTTCAGTTCTTTCTTTTCTTTTTTTCATATTTGTGTGTGTGTGAGAGAGAGAGAGAAAGAGATCGACTGAGATGCATTTCCAAGACTGAAAACATGACTTCTATGCAGAAAACCTCCAAATCTGTACTATCGACTCTGACTCCATTCCAGAGCTTCCTACCTATATTTATAACTTTCTGATAGACATATTTTCCCTGGAGGTTCTGTTGGCATCATAAACACAATGCACCTGAAACCCGTAATCTTTGCTGTTTCTCATTTGGTTTTCTGCTTTCTCTTAATAATGGTGCCTTGCTTTCTTCATCTACACCTTGTGGGTAAGGGTCATCCTTTACCCCCTATACTCAATCAGTGGACACATTCTCATGTTTCCTTTTTCCAGTGTCTCTGGCACCTATTCTTTTCCCTGCGTTCCTTCTGCCAAGATCCTAGTTCAGTCCATAATTGCATTACACCTGGTCTATTATAATAAAAATTAACTTACTTCCCTGACTCTAGTTTCTAATCCCTAGTTTCTATATGCTCCACCATACTGTACAATTATGGAGCCTCCAAACACTGTCGAATTCTGAGGAGTTAGGCACTCTAAGTCCCATAAGGAGTACAGTCTAATACAAGATGTGATTTTGTAATCTTGTAATTACAGTACCATGTAACAACTATAATTTAAACACAGAATGGGTAGAAAGAACAATATAGTCAATACTATTCAGAAAAATAAGTAGAGGCTTCAAGTAGTTAATGATTTTTAAAAGAACAAAGAGGCCATTTAGCTGCACATGAAGGGACGGAAGACAATAATGACAATACCAGGTACAAAGACAAAGAGCTATGCAGAAGCATGGCCTTAGAGAAACAAAGCCTTTCAGTAGGCCTGTGTGGGTTAACAGTGGACCTTGTGTAGTGTATAAAAAATTCAACATTTCTTTCTTCATCTAAGGAAAGAAACAATGGAAGTGTTTTAAGCAAGGCAATAACATGACTAGTTTATATTTTATGGTGATTCCTCCCCAGTGTTGTAGGAAATAATTTGTATGAAGCAAAGCCAGAGGCAATGAATGAAGCGGCAATGGCAGTAATGGGAATCAGCTTGAGCATCCACTGGCTCCGCTCTAACAATGATACTCTCTTCCTCAAACATCTTTCAACTTCCAGTTTGCCTATGGCATGCTGCCCAGTCTCCATAGTCCAGTCACTCCATAAATGGCCCCAGAACCTTCCCAAGTTCATTCTGCACAAATCCCCAACATATAGTCACAATTGCAGCCTGACTGGATCGTTTTCTGTTCCTGGGAAAAGGATCTGCACTTTCCCAAGGCTTTAACTTTAATTCATTCTGTATCCTGGACCAGGGCTCAGCAGACTGCCACCTGCAGGCCAAATTCTGCCCAGTGCCTGCTTTTGTAAATAAAGTGTTATTAGAACACAAACATGCCCTTATAAAACTGGTAGATCTCAGGAAGAGGCAAAGAAGGTTAAAAAAATCAACTGGGAGATATTTTAACTATACAAATACAATGATTGATTTAGAGTTCAGATGACAATGGGTCTCAGTTTATACAAACAAATTGAAACAGTAATTCCTTATTCTCAATTCAGAAAAATATTAACACTTTTGTTCATTTGCATTGAACTCAATTAATGTAAACTAATTCTGCACTGTCACACCATAAGCAAGAAACCACTTTGGCCTGAGCAATCAGGGACAGCATTTCTTGTCTTCACTACATTCCCCCAGTTGAGTTTTGCCTTCTTATGCTGTGGTATAAGGGGAAAAGTACATGTTGAAATCATAAGGACAGAAGTTCAAACTTTGGACCTACTGTTTATAGATTGTATGTTTCTTTGTGCAACTATTTTAGTCTCCCTTAGATTCAGATTCCTCATCTATAAAAATCTGAAACTAAAACCAAACTGTTAAAATTGTTTTGAAGTTTAAATGAGAGCATATATAAATCGCCCAGTTGTGAGTTTGGTACAAAGTCAATAAGTTGCCAGAAATCTTGAAAGAACAGCATAGATGTTTAAATGTTAAGAAAATAGCACAAGACACAATCTAATAAAGTTCATAACATTTCAAATTAACGTCCACCAAAGAAACAAGAGAGGTCTCCCTGAGGGATGAGAACAGAACCAAGCTTCAAGTCAGAGAGGTGTGGGCAGAGTATCTTAGCTGTCAGTCTTCTGACAGGGTCCCTTGTGCTTCTTCTATTTCTCTTTTTTTTAAACTTAAAATTATAAGTTTGCATGCAACCAGTGTTACAGAATAGCTCCTATTTAAAATGCACTTTTTATATGCTTTAGAATCTAATGAAGTCTAGAAAAAATTAATCACATATGAACATGAGAATTTATTTTTTAATTTTAAAAAATAAAAAATATATTACCTACTTTTAAGCAAACAATCATATGGTCCATAACATGTACAATAGCATAAAATTTAAAAAATTAGAATTTATACTATAAGGTTCTTAGGTTCATTTTCTGTTGCTATAACAGAGTATCACAGAGTGGGCAATTTATAAAGAATAGAAGTTTATTTGGCTCATAGTTCTGGAGGCTGGGATATCTAAGAACATGGGGCCAGCATTGGATGAGGCCTCGGTGCTATGTTATTTCATGGTGGAAGGGTAAAGGCATCACATGGCGAGTAAGCCCACGAGACAGAGGGAGGAAGTAATCAGGCTAAACTCATCCTTTTATCAGGAGCCTACTCTGGTGATAACTAACCCACTCCTGAGATAAAGGTATTAATGCATTTATGGTGGTGGAACCCTTATGGCCTAATCCACTTGCCATCCACTGATAGCAACAATTCCCAAAATAATATCACACAATTCTCAAATCCAGTTTCCTGCAGACTTTCTTGAAAAGGTAAGATAATTTCATTATTTCGTAAGCCCTGAATTTTTAATTTTTAAGGCTTCATTTATAAAACTCTGATATTTTTATTTTGATAAAGGGAATAGATATTATCTACTGTATGAGAGCAATAATTATACTTTATAAAGAGTCCCTTCTGTCCCAAGAAATATAGCGAGTGCTATTCTCATTCACTCCTGATTGTGGCAAGTGGGTGTGCCAAAAAGTGGTAAAAATCTGAGCAATACCAAGTAATTTATCAATACTGAAATCATTTCTCAACCAAACACCTTCTATAGTCTTTTTCTATTTTTCTGTCATTTTATGAGACCTTTATTCCTTTTAAATATAAGGTCCCCGATAGTTTATTATTTCACTAACATAGCCTAAAAATGTTGAAATATTTGTTTTAAGCTGTGAGCATAATGGGAGGAGTGTATATGCTACTGGCTGCAATGTAGGGGATTATTTCTTTTTCCCCTGCCATTTCTATTAGATACATGCTGTTGCTATGTTTATATGGACAGAAACCAAACTATAGAAACATGAGGTTAACTCCAAGAAAGGTATCTCACTGCTATCATAAAGAAGAAATCCTTTAAAGATATCTATTTCTTTGCTACTCTCCAACTTGAAAAATTATGGACCACAGCCAATTTCTGAACCTCCAAGCTTAGCTCCTTCTTTCTTGGCTGATCTCTGGGCCCCCAATTCAGACATAAAATCAGGAGTATACACAGATGGCTTTACTCTTCGGAAAGAAGAGAGAAGCTATTCTCAGTGGAAACTCCTGCCCGTTAACCAATCTGGCTAGCATCAAAATAGCCATGAAGATGTCATACCTCTCCTGACAAGAAAGCAACAAAGCCATATGAGGAATGACAAATGAGAGAATTAGGAACTAGGATGGTCTCTGTATAAATAATCAGTTCTTTGGTTGTTGGGAGAGCCAATGTAAGTCAGGTACAGAGTTTTGTCTTGAAAGAATAAAATCTTCAACTGATTATCTCTCGTTTACTGTGGTGCACAGCAGAAAAATAATTTTATGGAAGTTCCTTTAAAAGATATTCATTTGTAATCCTGGCCACTAACCACAATATTAGAGCAAGGCCCTGATTTATGCTTTCAGGCTAATTTATTTCAAACACAACAGCCTTCTGGGTTTATTTGGGGGCCTTGCCTGACTTGACAGTCCTAAAAACCTTGTGAAGACCTGTTTAATGTCATTGGACATCTCACAATAAAGATTGTCAATGTGGTGTTCACATAAAATTTGAAATATTTATCTTCTAGCCATATTCGTGCTTTCGTTGTGTGATCTTACTTACAATGTTTTCTTACATTTCTGCCTCAGTTTTTAAATTATGGTAAATAGATGTTATAATATTAAAACTATAAAAAATATGCCTATCTCTGCTGTCTGTTTTAGTTATAGGATCATTGGCGGAAACTCTCAGTTCACCATCAACCCATCCACGGGACAAATCATCACCAGTGCGTTGTTAGACAGAGAAACAAAAGATAACTATACTTTAGTAGTGGTCTCCAGTGATGCAGGGTCGCCGAAGCCTCTTTCTAGTTCCACGAGTGTGCTCGTCACCGTGACGGATGTCAATGACAATCCACCACGATTTCAGCATCACCCATATGTCACCCACATCCCGTCTCCTACTCTTCCAGGTAATCACCCTAACTATGAGGCTGCATGGATATAAGCAAACTAGATCTCAGACATTTTCTATAAATACATTTATGTTATTATTACATATGTATTTCTAATTTAGCCTAATTTTGAAAATCCTCTAAAAGTCAGATCGTTTCACCTAATGAAATTGAAGGGACTTTGAACCTTTTAAATGAATTCTTTCTTCCCAGACCAATTATGTACAAGATTTTATAATTGCCACATCTTTCCTATTACTATTTCATGCTATTACTTGCATATTGTAAATGATTGAAATAGATACCACTTTATAGTCAAGGATGGTTGTGCCCAGGGGTATAATTTGTGCATAATTTCCCTAAGAATAGGGACATTATCTCTATTTTTCATGCCATACAACAGTGCCAGAAACATTATCTAAGTGGCAATATGCATTTAAAAATATTTTTGGTGGAAAATGAATATTTTACTTCAATTTTTCATAGATATATTTTTAAAAATGTCAATGAATGTTCTTATTAATATTTTAATATGTATTTCTATTTCAGTTTTTGTGGATAATTTTTTTGCTAGTAAGTGTATGGAACCATTTATGAACCATTTTCATATTGACAATATGCGTTTCTATTTATATATCTTTTAAAACATTTAGTTTGATATCATTTTCTTTTTTTGAAAGAATGGCATACTCTATTAAGAACACACAAATTTTTGTCCATTTGTAATTTTTAAAATGTGTTTTTGAATAGGGAAATACACAAATATAGCACATTATTAATTTAATCTTCCTTGCATGAAAATATTATTAATTCAAGGGAAAAATTAAAAAATAAAATAAAATAAATGAATCCAGTATTATTCCTCTCAGTGATCTTTTATCTTCTATTAACCTGAGAATGTCTAATTGATACCAATTTAAAGTATCAAATCCATAAATGTATGTGCCAACTTTTTATCAAAAGGAAATGTCAATATCAAAGTCATAAAAACCTGATGAAGATCTTTAGCTGAAATGATGTTGGCAGGCGTGGTCTAGTAACATCTAATGTGCGTTGTTGCAATATAGCATCTCCTATGCAAAATGAGGTATGCTTAAGCATCTTTTCCTCATTAGACTTATTATAATTAATTGGAATCACTGGACTTTTTTAAAATAAGAGACTTTTTACTTTGTTACAAAGTCTTCTGTAAGGGTGGAAGTGCAAGTTTGGGAATGGTTTCTGAATGAGTATATTGAAAACATGTTCTTATGGCAGCTTTTCTGCATATATTTACTACAATCTGTTCCATTGGCATTCATTCCAAGCACTAACTCTTGGAATCCAAACTGAGTCCATTCTTCAGTTCTTATTTCTTACTACTTTATAATTATTTTAATTGATTTATGTATATATATATATATATGTATATACTTCATTTGCATGTGATAATAGCTCACAGATAAAGGGATTTTGCATAAAATAGTGGATATAAGGAATCAACAATAAGAAACATGATTTTTGTGAATTATTACATATACAACAAATCAAAAGTATTTTTAAACATAATATAGTATAGTCTCTTTACATTGAATAGAAGCATAGCTTCTTGCAGAGCTCACATTGTTTGTTGGAATGCCGTATTATGCACAGATTTTTCTCCGAGAAACTATGATTCTGAATGATTAGCCAGTTCTATTCTCTGTGCTTCTCTCAAAGGCATATGAAAAAATATTAAACCCAACAGACTGTATGGGTTTTAGTTAGGAAGGACCAGGTCAGTCTCCGAAGACTATCGTTAAGTAGATTTGACTTGAGATCTTCAAAGAAAATATAGGAAATACTGTTCTCCCTATTAATCATAAGAAAATATTAATAAAGTCATATCAGGCAATAATATAGTGTTTTATATGCATTAACCTACTGCCAAATATTTTATTTGGTATTTCACTTGATTATAATTACACATTCCCTCTTTTATAGGTTCCTTTGTCTTTGCGGTTACAGTCACAGATGCTGACATTGGACCAAATTCTGAACTGCATTATTCTCTTTCGGGTAGACACTCGGAAAAATTTCACATTGACCCACTGAGGGGAGCTATTATGGCAGCTGGACCACTAAATGGAGCTTCAGAAGTGACATTTTCTGTACATGTTAAGGATGGTGGCTCATTTCCAAAGACAGATTCTACAACAGTGACTGTTAGATTTGTGAACAAGGCTGATTTCCCTAAAGTCAGAGCCAAAGAACAAACATTCATGTTTCCTGAAAACCAACCAGTAGGCTCTCTTGTCACCACCATTACAGGGTCCTCCTTGAGAGGAGAACCTTTATCCTATTACATTGCAAGTGGGAATCTTGGCAATACTTTCCAAATTGATCAGTTAACAGGGCAGGTGTCTATTAGTCAACCTCTGGACTTTGAAAAGATACAAAAATATATTGTGTGGATAGAGGCCAGAGACGGAGGTTTTCCTCCTTTCTCCTCTTATGAAAAACTTGATATAACTGTATTAGATGTCAATGATAATCCCCCCATTTTTAAGGAAGATCCATTTATATCTGAAATATTGGAAAACCTCTCTCCTCGAAAAATACTTACTGTTTCGGCAATGGACAAGGACAGTGGACCCAACGGACAACTAGATTATGAAATCGTTAATGGCAACAAAGAAAATAGCTTCAGTATCAATCATGCTACTGGTGAAATTAGAAGCATTCGACCTTTAGACAGGGAAAAAGTATCTCATTATGTGCTCACCATAAAATCTTCAGACAAAGGTTCCCCTTCTCAAAGTACCTCAGTAAAAGTCATCATTAACATTTTAGATGAAAATGATAATGCCCCTAGGTTTTCTCAGATATTTAGTGCCCATGTTCCTGAGAATTCCCCCTTAGGATACACAGTTACACGTGTCACAACTTCTGATGAAGACATTGGTATTAATGCAATCAGTAGATATTCTATAATGGACACAAGTCTTCCATTTACAATTAATCCCAGCACAGGGGATATTGTCATTAGCAGACCTTTAAATAGGGAAGATACGGAACGTTACAGAATCCGAGTTTCTGCACATGATTCTGGTTGGACTGTAAGTACAGATGTCACAATATTTGTGACAGATGTGAATGACAATGCTCCAAGATTTAGCAGACCCTCCTATTATTTAGATTGCCCTGAACTTACTGAGATTGGCTCCAAAGTGACTCAGGTATCTGCAACAGATCCTGATGAGGGATCAAATGGACAAGTGTTTTATTTTATAAAATCTCAGTCAGAGTATTTCCGGATTAATGCCACCACTGGAGAGATTTTCAATAAACAGATCTTAAAATACCAAAATGTCAGTGGCTTCAGTAATGTGAACATCAACAGGCATAGTTTTATAGTGACATCTTCGGATCGAGGTAACCCTTCCTTACTTAGTGAGACGACAGTTACCATCAACATAGTGGACAGTAATGACAATGCCCCTCAGTTTCTTAAAATTAAATATTTCACTCCGGTCACCAAAAATGTAAAAGTTGGTACAAAGTTAATCAAAGTTACTGCGGTAGATGACAAAGATTTTGGACTGAATTCTGAAGTGGAATATTTCATTTCTAATGAAAATCATTTAGGAAAATTTAAGTTGGACAATGATACAGGATGGATTTCAGTGGCATCTTCTCTGATTTCCGACTTAAATCAAGACTTTCTGATCACGGTCACTGCAATGGATAAAGGAAACCCCCCACTTTCTTCCGAAGCAACTGTTCAGATAACTGTCACTGAGGAAAACTACCACACACCTGAATTCTCTCAAAGCCACATGAGTGCAACTATCCCTGAGAGCCACAGTATCGGTGCCATTGTCAGAACTGTTTCTGCCAGAGATAGAGACGCAGCTATGAATGGCTTGATTAGGTACAGCATCTCTTCAGGAAATGAAGAAGGCATTTTTGCAATCAATTCCTCCACAGGTATATTAACACTAGCCAAAGCTCTCGATTATGAGCTATGCCAGAAACACGAAATGACGATTAGTGCTGTAGATGGAGGATGGGTTGCAAGAACCGGTTACTGCAGTGTGACTGTAAATGTGATTGATGTGAATGACAATTCTCCAATATTCCCCTCTGATGAATATTTCCCTACTGTTTTGGAAAACGCCCCGAGTGGAACAACCGTTATCCACCTAAATGCAACAGATGCTGACTCTGGGACAAATGCTGTGATTGCATACACTGTACAGTCCTCTGACAGTGACCTCTTTGTCATTGACCCTAACACAGGAGTCATAACCACTCAAGGCTTCCTGGATTTTGAAACCAAGCAGAGCTACCATCTTACTGTGAAAGCCTTCAATGTCCCCCATGAAGAAAGGTGTAGCTTTGCCACTGTTAATATACAATTAAAAGGGACAAATGAATACGTGCCTCGTTTTGTTTCCAAACTTTACTATTTTGAAATCTCAGAAGCAGCTCCTAAAGGTACTATTGTTGGAGAAGTGTTTGCCAGTGACCGTGATTTGGGCATTGATGGAGAGGTACACTATTTGATTTTTGGTAATAGTCGAAAGAAGGGTTTCCAGATCAACAAGAAGACAGGACAAATTTATGTCTCTGGAATTCTTGATAGAGAAAAAGAAGAAAGGGTGTCTTTGAAGGTATTGGCCAAGAATTTTGGCAGCATTAGGGGTGCAGATATAGATGAGGTCACTGTAAATGTCACTGTGCTTGATGCCAATGACCCACCCATTTTTAGTCTAAACATCTACAGCGTTCAGATCAGCGAAGGGGTCCCAATAGGAACTCACGTGACCTTTGTCAGTGCCTTTGACTCAGACTCTATCCCCAGCTGGAGCAGGTTTTCTTACTTCATTGGATCAGGGAATGAAAATGGTGCCTTTTCTATTAATCCACAGACAGGACAGATCACCGTTACAGCAGAATTAGACCGAGAAACTCTACCCATCTATAATCTCTCGGTTTTGGCTGTTGATTCAGGGACCCCCTCAGCTACAGGAAGTGCCACTTTATTGGTCACCCTGGAAGATATAAATGATAATGGGCCAATGCTGACCGTCAGTGAAGGAGAAGTCATGGAAAACAAACGCCCGGGAACTCTGGTGATGACCCTTCAGTCCACTGATCCTGATCTCCCTCCAAATCAAGGTCCCTTTACTTATTACTTGCTGAGCACGGGTCCTGCCACCAATTATTTTAGTCTGAACACGGCTGGAGTTCTGAGCACAACTAGAGAGATTGACAGAGAGCAGATTGCAGACTTCTACCTGTCTGTGGTTACTAGGGATTCTGGTGTTCCTCAAATGTCTTCCACAGGAACCGTACATATCACAGTCATAGACCAAAATGACAATCCTTCACAGTCTCGGACGGTGGAGATATTTGTAAATTATTATGGCAACTTGTTTCCTGGTGGGATTTTAGGCTCTGTGAAGCCACAAGACCCCGATGTATTAGACAGCTTCCACTGCTCCCTTACTTCGGGAGTTACAAGCCTCTTCAGTATTCCAGGGGGTACTTGTGATCTGAATTCCCAGCCAAGGTCCACAGATGGCACATTTGATCTGACCGTCCTTAGCAATGATGGAGTTCACAGCACAGTCACGAGCAATATCCGAGTTTTCTTCGCTGGATTTTCCAATGCTACAGTGGACAACAGCATCTTACTTCGTCTCGGTGTACCAACAGTAAAGGACTTCTTGACTAACCACTACCTTCATTTTTTACGCATTGCCAGTTCACAGCTGACAGGCCTAGGGACTGCTGTGCAACTGTATGGTGCATATGAAGAAAACAACAGAACGTTTCTTCTGGCAGCTGTGAAGCGAAGTAATAATCAGTACGTGAATCCCAGTGGTGTAGCCACCTTCTTTGAAAGCATCAAAGAGATCCTTCTCCGGCAGAGTGGAGTAAAGGTAGAATCTGTGGACCACGACTCGTGCATTCATGGCCCCTGTCAGAATGGAGGGAGCTGTATAAGAAGACTGGCTGTGAGCTCCGTGTTAAAGAGCCGTGAGAGTCTCCCAGTCATCATTGTAGCAAACGAACCTCTGCAGCCTTTCTTATGCAGGTGTCTGCCAGGATACGCCGGTAGCTGGTGCGAAATAGACATAGATGAATGCCTTCCCTCCCCTTGCCACAATGGGGGGACCTGTCACAATTTAGTGGGAGGATTTTCATGCAGCTGCCCAGATGGCTTCACTGGTAGAGCCTGTGAGAGAGATATCAACGAGTGCCTGCCTAGTCCTTGCAAGAATGGTGCCGTCTGCCAGAATTTTCCAGGAAGCTTCAACTGTGTTTGCAAATCTGGATACACAGGTATGACAATGTTTTACTTTTCTCACTGACTTTAGCCATGTCAAGTATCATAGAAAGGAATGAATTTATGAAATCATTCATAAATGATTTTCCACAAAAACAGGCATAATCATAACAAATGTTTTTAAGGATTTACACTTCTCACAAGAGAGCCTATGAGGTGGGGAGATTTTTCTAGTTTTTACAGGCAAGGAAGTAGAAGTAGAGAGAGGTTAAGTAAGTTTTCCAAGGTGATGCAGTTACTTTGTTGTAGTGTCAGTATTCAGGTCTACACAGTTAATTTCAGAGTTTAAGCTCTTAGTCAATCTGCTCAGTGTCTCTAAGAAGAGCTGAAAGAGAATAATATCTTCTTAAAAGAGTGTTCTAAAGTTTAAAGGACATGGTATATATAAAGCTTAAGACCTGGACCATTTTACGTGCTAAATAATAGTTAACAATTACTGTTGATTCTTTTATCATTGGCATTTTTATGATCTTTTAAAATCATAATCATCATTATTATTGAAATATGATCTACATTGTGAGGAGAATACAGTAAGAATCATGTTTTAAGACTGAGATTAAAATGGTATTGTTATTTCTAGTAATCGGGTAGAAAGAATAATTGGCTGATTTCTCAAGAAAGCCAGAATAAAACCAAGCCACAATTTACCTTGACATTTTAGAAGCAGCATTAAATATATAGCAGAAAATCTATTCAACTAGTCTTTAGCATCCTAATAGGAAGTGATGTCCATGCATACAAATATCTTTATCTGTTTCTATTTCTAATCTCTATATCTATCTGTCTATCATCATTATTACTATCTATCATAATTATCCATTTATCTATCATCTATTAGCTGATCAGTCATTGATGTTCCTTTGAATGTGAATAAATGTTTTGCTGTGGGTAAGTTTGAGGACAGAAAAATCTCTTATAATTTGTACACTATACATTTTTAGAACATACATATTACCTTGGGTTGTTCTGTAGTGTTTACAAGCACAGTTTAAAGTACTAGTACTATAGGTAGAATCAGGATTGATTATTTTAGATTTTTATAGATATATTGCAGAATGATACTTTAAAAGAAATTTTTAAGTAAGCACATTTGGATACCGTATTTTTGAGATTGTCCATTCTGTGTATACTTATGGTTTTATATTTGGAGAATTAAACTTCATGATAGTAATATAAAGCAAGTTTGAAAAAGTTGAAGCAGAACATATAGGCTTTGGCTTCTAACAAAATAATGTCCTTGAAATATAAATGAAGAAAAGGGACAAAAGGCATGTATAATGGAAAGAATAATAGCTTTGGTAGAATTTGATTTACCTATAGCTTTTGGGAAGTCACCTAACCTTGCTGACCTTCAATTTCTCCATCTGGAAAATGGGGATAATTGTAATTACTTACGTTTTAGGGTTGTTATAATGAGTAAATATTATGTTTGTAAAACACCTAGCACAGTGCCCAGCATTCTATAAGTGGCCATGCCAATTGGTAATATTAGTATTAGTATAGTGGTAGTAATAGTGTCCCACAAAATTTTTCAAAAGACAGGAAGCCTCAGTAGCAGAAGATAACTGTGAGTCTTACCAGAGTTGTCTTAGGATCATGAATAATAGGGCTATATACATATTGAGTCGAGGATTTCTAGAAAATTTTCCTCACTCTTTCCTACCCACCCCCAAAAAATTACTTCCTCAGCTGAGAACTCAATAATAAAGATTTTTTTTTCCTTGTCCTATTGTAGTAGAATTCACGTATTCGCACAGGTTTAGATTGAGTTTACATTAAGTCCTAGGATGAAGAAAATGCAGAAGCATTTGTTCTTGATAGAGAACAGGAAAAGTGCCACTGGTGTGGTGAAGGCATCATAAGCTGATTTCACCATTCAAATGTCATTCAAGTCTTTTCACTGGTAGAATATAAACCTGAACCCTGACAGAAGGGAGACTGGAAAAGGAAGTTTTCAGACTTCTAGCCCCTGCAATACAGAAAGAAAGGAATGAGGCTGAATGTCAACAGATAATATCTGGCATAAAAAGTATTATTATTTTGCCTATTTTACATTGTAGGAAATTGAAGCTACACTCTAAGTGACTCTAGGGCCAGAGCTGCCAAAGTCTATAACACAGTCTCTTTCTGTAAGGAAGTTTACCTGAAGTTACATATTAACATTACGTACTTCCCCTCGGAGTTCACTGCTGTCTGCATTTGCACAGATGGAGATAATCCAACTGATCAGGACTGATGTAAACAAACATAAACCTGAGTAATTAATATGACTCTTACATTTTTTGAAATCATGTAATTCATTGTTTCAAATTCTATATGACCAAATCAGCCAGTAAAACTAGCAGATAAAGTCTGATAGTTTTATTTCTTGTGTTTCATTTTGCAGGAAATAACATAACAAAAAACATGGTCACAAATGTTAATCCATACTTTAAGTCAAGAATATATTGTATGGTTAATGTTCTTTGTAAAGTTAATTTCTGAAGGATCTTCTTAAGTTAATCTTTCTAGCTAATCTCTGCCAGGTACCCTGACTCAGGAAGACAGCACCAATGCACTAAAACATCTTAGAGATCTAGTCAGAGCTAAGAATCCAGAAGACAGAATTCATGCTTACATATATATGTGTGCCTCATAAAATGAATTTTTAAGAAATTACTCATACTGGCTAAATTTTACTTCTGTTAACATTAATTAAATACTGGTGCCTTAGTAAAGCCTTCCTTCTTCAAGGACTGTATATATTCACATATTTGTTGACCATCAGAAATATTTCAAATCACCTATGTCTTTCATACTCTATTTACTTTTGTGAACTTTCACTTGCATTTTATGAGTGGTTTTCGAAGTCTAAGGAATTACAAATTGGAGCTGTGAGATTTTCTGAGCTTTCCGCTTAAAATGATCCTCGGCCACTAACCCCCCATCTCACACACACTCTCTCTCTCTCTCTTTCACAAACACCACTGCATATTTTATGTGCATATTAGTCCATTTGCATAGCTATAAAGAAAATACCTGAGACTGGGTAATTTATAGAGGAAAGTGGTTTATTTGGTTCACACTTCTGCAGGATGTATAAGAAGTGTGGTGCCAGCATCTGCTTCTGGTGAGGGCTTCAGGGAATTTCTAATCACGGCAGAAGTTGAAGGGGAGCAGGCATGTCACATGGTGAAAATGGGAGCAAGAGAGAGGGGAGGAGGTGCCAGCCTCTTTTAAACGACCAGCTCTCGCGTGAACTAACAAAGGAGAACCCACTCATTATTTCGGAGAGGACAGCCAGTCATTCACGAGGGATCCATCGCCATGACCCAAACACCTTCTCCCAGGTCCCACATTCCGCACTGGGGACCAGATTTCAACATGAGATTTGGAGGGTCCAAAAACATCCAAACTATATCAGTGTGGAGTTAGAAATTGTGCTAAAGATTAGAAGAGTGAGGGGCTTATGAATTGATGCAAACTGAGAGACTTTATCCTCAGAATCCCACAGGGAGCAATTACGTCTTAGCCAAACAGAGATTTTGTGTAGATAACATCCTATAAGGATGCAAGTATGAAAATGAAAATTATAGAAAAAAATATGAAGGGATATAGTTATTATCATATTGTCACCAATTTATTCCTGAAACATTTTTAAGGTTTATTTTTAAGTTTGTAACCATGCATATATAATAAATATGAAATAACTATATTTCTGAATGAATGAATGATTTGAGGAGATGAATTTGTTTGTATAACTTGCATTTCTGATCTCTTTTCCTTAGTTACTGGAAAAAGAACCAAAAGGAAATCCAAAAAAAATAGATTGTAACATATTCAGTTAAAATCACTTTATGTTTCATTGCTAAGGAAATTTTCCAATAATTTAATTTTTATATCACTAAATGGAACTTTGATTAGCTGTAGTATGGAATATTAGAAAAATGAATAAAGTTTTTTGTAACATAGACCATGCAAAAAATTAATTTCTAAATTTTTACAAAGTTTAATGATACAAAAATTACATCAGTTGTCAATATGCCTCAGTACATCAAAATATATATATTTCATATTATTCATGCCTCAGAATTCCAGGGGATCGTAGAGGAAAGCATTAGCCTAATAACTGCAAATCTATTATTTCTTTTCCTATACAAATGAAAATGTATTGCATTTAATAGAATGATAATTAGCCAACACAACTATAGCCAGTAACCACCTCAGCATTTGTCTTCCTGCTCCTAATTTTTCACTGCTTGCAGCACATCACCAGCATTAAGTCCTTCTTGTAACGAATGGTATTATAAAATGCAGTATGTAGACAGAGCTTATTTCTAAACCTGGATCTCTTATAACATGTTTAGTTCATAGCCCCTTTAACCTTTTCCATTCACTTTCACACATCTGGATGCATTTTAGGTGTAGTATTTGGAATAATGCCAGGGGTTTACTACCATATGGAGAAGTTTTACTATGTTCTCAACCAAGTCCTGATACTTCAGGCAGGATGAGATTTGTCCATTCATCACTTTTATGTCATTTGACAGTATAATCAGTAATATTTTTAGAGATATAAAAAGTTACATACAGTCTGTGCATAGTAATTTTACTGAGAAACTTGCCAAATGTTTGCTTTTATAAAGATGGAAGGAGTAACTGAGTGTCGTTCTTTTAAAATCACTACAGTCATATATTAATCTTGATGATCATGGAACCAGAAAACCATAGAATATTAAAGAAATTTAGTGAATAGATAAGAAATGAAATTTTCTTTGAGATATAGACCAGTGGCTGATGTATGAGAGGATATAGGGTGCGAGCCTTGTTTTGATTTTATATCCAAGAATGAAATTAGACAGTTTACCTTAGGTAATACATTAACTTATTAAGGCATTAATGCCTTATGGTTCTAGTAACTTAAATGCTTCTTATTTTTGCAGAAAATAAGCATGTATTTGTAAGCTTATCATGAATATTTAGTATGTAACCACACATAATCAGTTGTAGCCTTATTGCAATTGTGTTTGTATTTGTGCTCGTTATCAAATACAAAGGTAAAAATATAAAAGTAAAACAGGTATTTTTTTTTTTAACTTTTCTTACTGGCAACCCTTGTCAAAACGTGGTATTTTTTTTCTTTTGTTTTGATATAAAAAACCCATAATGCTATTAAGCAGGATATTTAGATAGACCATCTTCCTAGTGCCTTTAGCAATAATGGGAAACAATTACATAGTGTGAAAAAATAGCTACTTTCTGTGAGAATAATAAAAAAGTTTATAAGCATAAATACATAAATATTCAGAATGAATAGCAAACATATTTTAGAATTATATTTATTCATAACATAATCAATTTAGATATAATGTGGACTTTGATAGTTGCACGTCCTTCCACCTCTCTGTGTATAAATACAAGAGATACAAAAATACTTGTACTAGTCTAATACATACATATCTATGATCTAAGATATTAAATAGAAGGCTACATGAATTATAGGATATGAAAAGTTATCATATCCTCATGGGGTGGTCTAGATTAACAGTTGAGAATAAATTCAGCTGTGCTCTACCCAGCTCAACATTAAAATGTGCTATTGGACAAGTAAAACTTAAAGATACATCCTTGCTGAAAAGACCATAGGTGATCACAATGCATTCCGTTTATGTTTAACACATCATCACATCTTCTGTCCCTGAAGATAAAGATACAGGCTCGATTTCTCCTGGAAGTTTAAAGCTTAATGTTGGAAAGTCTTTGGATACCCTGGCCTCCTATTATGCATTTATTTTCATCTTCAGCAATTGCTATTCCTCATGTGCTAAGAATTTACACTTCTTGAAACACATCTCCTTCTATCTCTGACAAATAGTGTATGTCAACACAATTAATTGATGGATGTCAAAGCAATGAGATCAGTTTATTCTTTTAAACAGCTGCTATGACAGTAAACATATCTTTTTAGAAAAAGACCTCTTGCATTCAAGAGGTATGGATGCCTAATTTTGTACAAGTCCTATCAGTACACTTGCAAGCCTGAAGGCAATGACAACTATTGTTAATTGACTTGCAGCATTAATTAAGTTAATGATCAAAGATTTTGTTTCACAGTGCTTCAACACATCAGATTATTTTACCAGGAGCATGTTAGAATAATTCAAACTACTGCATTCTCTGATAATCATTATGCCATTAATGCTACAATTTAAGTAGATAGATTTGCAAAGAACAATGCAGAATTTGTTGTTGATTTCTAATTGGGTAATAAAGCATAACCTTTCCAAATCTGAGAAATATGCATTAGAGCCTTTCTTTTGATTCTAAGTAAGTTATGACACCCTTTGTTCATACAAAAGAAACAGGTATCTTTAACAATAATTTAAATGAAAATATTAAGTTTTCAAACTGTCTTTTAATCTAAAGATCTAGTATGACAACCTCTTTGAGATCATGAATTGTAAAAATGTTTACTCATTACAAAGAGAACTAAAACTAAATTTTTGAATGGTAAACATTTACATACCCTACCACCACCAAGTTAAATCTATTTTTTTCCCAAACTCAACAATGCATTTCTTTATTTAACCCCAAGCAAAGCTATCTTATGCATTTTGATAATTATCTACTAAGACAGAATAAGAAAATAAAATTTTTAAATTACAATGTTAAATGACATGTTGAATTTGTTTTTTGTTTTTTTTTTTGAGACAGGGTCTCACTCTTTTGCCCAGGCTAGAGTGAGTGCCATGGCGTCAGCCTAGCTCACAGCAACCTC